GAATGACATTGAGCTCCCAATTCGGAAGCCTAAAAGGACAGGGCAGATGAACAGAAAAGAAAAGAAATAACAGGGCAGGAGAAGGATCTATGAAAACAGGAGAAGCAAAAAGTGAGGGACACAGCAGCATGATAACTAGAAACAGTAGACAGACAAATCTTCATCAAATAACCAGGTAAGGAACCTGGACAAGTGAGAAACTGAAGTTCAGAACCCCCGGCGATTGGACCACTGCTGAACGACACTGATACACTGACAATGAGGAAGGACAAATGGAATGAGTAAGCAAAGAAGCTACATGGGTAGTGAGTCCCTGAGAGGAGACAATGGACTGGACAAGAGCCATGCATGAAGACTGAGTTTGGTGACATATGGATGAAATGCGTCCAATCAAGGCTGCCGGAGTAGAGACCTGGATGGAAGTAAGAGAAGGGGTTGCTGCTCCAGTAAGGACCAATGTAGAGGAAACCACAACTGAGCAGGCCAATATGGAGCAACCAGCAACACATGGCAAGGTGTGGTCTGTAAGAGAGAAACAATCTTGGAGAGGAGTCTGATCAGAGGGTAAGCAAAGAGATGAAGGTCCCTCCAATCCTGACTGAATGCATCTAACCACAGAGCTGAGAGGTATGAAACAGGAGACCAAAAGGAAGGAAGTTTGGCATTCCAATAGGTTGCAAATGCATCAATATGAAATATACTAAGGCTAGAACACACCCACCAAAAAAACCCAGAATGAAGGGACCACTCCATAGGAGGAACTTGGTTGGGGCAGAAAAGATTGTCTGCAACAAAATTCATAACACCCAGAACATGACAAGCCAAGTGAGTGATGTTGTAGCTGTGGGCCCAGTATAAGAGGTCAAGTGTGAAAAAACATAGGGACCTGGACTTGACAACCCCTTTGGTTGGAGATATATCTGATGACAGTTGAATTGTCGGAATGAACCATAACCTCCCACTCTCATAAGAATGGAAAGAAATGATTGAGAGCCCAACAAACCACCAAAAGCTCCAAGTTATTAATATGGTAAGTAGATTCCTCAATGGAACAGTGACCCAAAATCTCCCAAGAGTCAAGGGAAGCCCCCAAACCAACCAAAGAAGCATCTGTGAACAAATGAGAGTTGGGACGAGGATGAGGAATCCCCACTGTGGTAAGAGTCCTGTTGAGCCACCAAACAAGGTAAGTCATGATCCCTGGGGAAAGAGTAATAAGATGATCCAAGGGATCGTTGGAGAAGTTCCACTGTTCAAGAAGCATCCACTGAAGGGAACGCATGTGTGTTTGACCCAATGGAAGGAGAGCTTCCAGGGAGGCCCACATCCGCAAAAGAGAGAGAACTTCTCAAGCAGTAAGAGTAGGTGAAGACAGAGCAAGAGTGACTGCTCGTTACATATCCCTGAGCCAAAGTGGAGAAGGCTGGGCCCAACCAAGATGGGAATTGAAGAGGACCCCCAAATGAATGAGGTATTTTGTGGGAGTAAGAAAGGACTTCACCTTGATTAGAAAACCCACTTGAGCAGACTCCCAGAGAAGTAAGTGGATGTGATCGGCAGATCTGGCTCGGGAAGAGGTGAGCAGGAGCCAGTCATCCATGTATGATGAGTCCAAAGACCCAACAATGAAGATTACATGCAAAAGCACAGACAACACGACTGAACACATAAGGAGCCGAGACAAGACAAAACGGTAGTGCACTTAACTGGAACACATCCTCACCATGGACGATTCAAAGATAATGACGTGACTCCTGAGCAATGGGGATATAAAAGTAATTATCTGTCATGTAACACACGTTCTACAGCACCCTTGTGAAGAAGATCGAGAGCTGACTACTCTGCTAGACGACTGGACAATACACAATCCAGAGGAGGAGGAAATGAAACCGGGAAAGAGAAGAGGAGAGGATGGGACCGGAATTGAATGCATAGACTTTCTGACAGATCCCGTAACATCTATGGATCCATCGTGAACGGTTTTCAGATGGCAGAAAAGAGTTGTAACCTGGCCCCCACTTGCCTGTGGAAAGACATCCCGTCACCAATAATGGTGAGGCCAAGAGGAACAGGAAGAATGGGCTTAAGAAAGAGAATGTCGGGAGTAGGGTAAAGGGTAGGATAAAGAGGAAGGTGCAAGGGGCACTCAAACTGGCAAAGTTGGAGCAAAATCAGTAGGGCAAGACAAACGAGAAGCAATGGAGGACAAGGAAGAATGCAATCTCTTCACATTGACCCTGAACTCCAAAGACTGTTCACGCAGAAACAGGGCCTGACAAAGTTATCTCAATGAAGAAAGGGGAGAACACATCTGCAAGAATTGCATCCTGCCAGAGGAAATCTCAACAACACAAGATCCATGTGGTGAGGGCTAATGCCAAAGCTGACAACTGGGCCATATCAGACCAAGGAGGATCCTGAGATCAGCCAAGAACTGATCAGGAAACTGGTGGAGAGCTTCAGACAACAACTGTAAAGAGGAAAGAACACGTAAAATGTAGGTCCAAGTAAGATGAATCCTAGTAAACTGGGACCTATATTAAAATGAACCAAGCAACAGGATTAGAACCCCACAAGGGAAGGTGAGGATCTAAATGTTGAGAATCCAAATAGGGAATCGAGGCACTCTGGTAAGCAAAAGAGAGTTGGACCAAAAGCCAAGGAGGATGAAGCATACCCACTCCCGACTGTACTTGATTAGCAAAACATTGAGCAGGAACAAGAATGTTAGGAGAGAGAGGAAAATAATAATAATCAGAACAAGAATCTTTTCCCAGCAAAGAAGAATCAAGAGCTAAAGGGAAGACATGTAAAATTTGACATACTTGATCAATAAGTTATAAGAAAAGCGTGGTTGGCAGACTCTCTTAACTGTCAGCATTATGTGACTGACAGAAACAAGCCGGAGCCAGAAAAACAGCATCGAAATTGTGCTCACCGTGACAAAAAAACTTCCTCAGAAGCATGTTCATGGAGGAAAGGAGAACGAGCAGAAGAAGCAGCTAAAGCATCCAACTCCTGCAGAATTAATGCCTGAATTTCCTCAGCCAACATCAGCAACTCAATGTGCTGGGGGCTAGTGACATGAGCATTGTCCATATTGAAGGGAACTTCTTCATCTGCCACATGAAAATTTGAATTCATAAGTCCACAAGGACTTTCCAAAAAAAAAAAGAGCAAACAATAGTAAAGGAACTACTAAATGAATGAGTAATTCCAACTTAAATTGAAAGCTAGCAAGAAAACACAAAAGAACGTAGCAGAATTTGCTTGAAGAACAACTGAAAACACACATCTAAACACCGTAGTGCCAATTGAAAAAGTGAGAATTGTGCTGCAATGGTTGAGGGAGCTGCACTAGTGTAGAGAGTGCAATGGGATTGGTGAAGGGTGGTCACATGATCAGCACATGTTGCTGCAATAATGCAAAAAATATAGGCGTATAAAAGACTGGTGTGCTGTTCAAAAAATTTACCATTGCCTAGAGAGCAAATGAAGAACAAGACAGCTATTGGGGAGAGGAGGTAGTACCATTTCGGAATATCAAAGTTACACCCAGTACGTACAAGAAACCCCATTCTGTCAAATATCCTTCTACTTCACCACGTAAATTGTGCTTTAACACTTTGCACCCACAAAGAAGACTTACTTATTGAATTGAACTACCTAAAAAACATAGCACTATCTAGAGGTTTTAACCCCAATATCATAGATAGGGCTTGTATCAAACTTCAAAACAGTGAAAAATTTTCCGTTAACTCTAGTCTTTCACCTATCAACAACACAAAACAAGAAGTTTATTTCATTCCCTTTTGTGCCAGAAATTGCTGACAAAATTACTAGACTTTTAAATAATTTGAGCATTTTTGTAAAAACTGTATTCGAACTATCATATAAAATTATCATCTTATTACATAACCCAAAATATGGAATGAAATACAAAGGACAAACATCACGTCATTTAGAAATATGATGCAAATAACACGAAGGTCACGTGCGCAGAGGTGATTTCCAATTATCTACTTTAACATATCATCAATATAAAACAGGCCAAAAATACTTTGGCACAAAATTCCTCTAGTACACCAACCCGAAACTAAAAAAGAAAGAGATTGTTTAGAAGCTATAGTAATCATCAAAGCAAATGACCTCTCATTAAACCGTGATAACAGCTCTAGCAACATCAGCCATATTTGGCAAAGTGTATTCCCATTCATACACTTGGCCAGACTTAACCTCTACCTATATCCTGTCACCTGCTGACACCATTTCTATCACACTTAATCCCTATTGTCTTTGTTGCAATGTATAAGCCTTGGATTGCTTAGTACTGATCATACCCGAAGAAGAAAGACCAATGTTCTGTCAAAACATGTAGTATGTTATGAAACGTTGTTTGCCTACCTATTATTGTTGAAATAAAGTTTAGTTTTTTAAGAAAATCTTTTTCTATTGGCTAAAGTCTCCAGCATATACTGTGCCTGCATGCAAGATGTTTCTGCATCTCTGCAAAAAGGCTTTATGTGGTGTAGAAAGAGAGAAATTCATAAACATATAATTCTATATTTTTGTTTATATTTTTTACATCTATTTTTTCTCATACTTTGTATACTGAAATTTCTGTTTATGGTGTGTTCAAGTTACATTAATACTCTTCCAAAAATTATATGAATGCATTTACGTAGACTCTCACTGATACCAGACAGATGTTCAAGCTCTAAATACGATGACACTAAACTTAAAAGAAAATAAACATTAAATATGACCGAGCATTTAAGAAAGAAATGGAAAGAAATACACTTATAGCAGATAGATAAGCAGATAAATAGAACTTAACCACAATGCTACTTAATGTAATAAATATACAACTCAATGCGTTTATAAAAGTTCATGTTCATGATTAAAAAAACAATCAAAATTTGACCCTACTGCTAAAATGCTTCAATAAATTATATGCATTCAAACCCAAGATTTTATTTCACTGTAATGGTCCAACATACCAATTCCAGCTGCTACTTTCCGAGGTGTAGGTTGATTTGTTGTTGAACCTGATCCTACTTGGCCATAACTGTTTTGTCCCCAAGCATAAACCTAAAAGAAGAAATAGTATCTAAACCTTCAAGCACATTATAATCACATTTCATTGATGCAAAAGTTATTCAACAGGATGAACTGCATTCTTATTACTTTCTAGCATGTTTAATCAAAATATTTTTACTTACTTTACTTGTTCCTTTTGCATCTGCCGTTAAGCATTGTGGGGAGATACAGTTGCCATTCCAAAGCAAGGTGAGAGGCCTGGGTCAGTATAAGGCTGTGTTTATTTAGAGTCTCAGCCATGTCATTGATTCTTCTCTTTCTGGGTCACCCTCTTGCTTTGAATTCTGTTATTTTCATATTATATGCTCTTGCCGCTGATTGGTTGGGTTGCATTTTCACTATGTGGCCAAACCGCTTAATTATTTGCTCCTTAATGTATTTCTTGATTGCAGCTGTTCTAAACATTTCTCTTACCTGTACATTTCTTACCTTGTCTCTTTTAGTCATGTTAGCAGCTTTCCGTAAGCATTTCATCTCACAGGTGATGATTTTTCTGTTCTTGATTTTTATTAAGAGTCCAGGTTTGACATTGGTAATATAGGGTTGGTACCAAAATGGTGTTTATTAATTTACACTTTATTTCCATTGGGATATTTGGGTGTTTCAGGAGAGGTATTAATTGGTAGTTTACATAGTTCACTCTTTGTATTCTTGTTTCAATTTCTCCATATATTCTTCCATCTTCTCTGAAAATACTTCCAAGGTATTTGAATTCATTGACCTACTGTAACTTGGTATTATTAATATTGACATTTAACTGATGTACTGTTCTACTTACTAGCATTTCTTCTGTTTTTCCTATGCTGATTTACATATAACACCCTTGTCAGCTTTTGTTGAGGCTATTTGCATGGTTTTTGTGGCTCTTCTTCACTTGGGTATATCAAACTTTGGTCATCATCAAAAGGTAATTCGTTTAAGGCTTATGGATTTAGATTTACTTCTTTGGTGATCTGGTCCATGTAAATGATGAATGGAAGAGAGAATAAAACAACCTTGTCTCACCCCAGATGATACTTGGAACCAATTAGTAAGGCCATTTGTAGTTCTCACAGCACTCTAACTGTCTGCATACATTGCTATTATGTTGTCCAAGAGCTGACCTTGCACCCTATAGTCTTCGAGTACATTCCACAAGTTATTTCTGTTAACACGATCAAATACTTTTTCTTGATCTATAAAGACAATATTCAATTCTTGATGTTCAATGGCATTCTCATTAAGTTGTATTGGTGAAAATATTGCATTGTTGCAACCTCTGCCTTTCCTAAAACCAAACTATGCCTCGCATAAGAAAGGTTCAACCTTGTATCTTGTCTGTTGTTCTAGGATTTTCGCATACACCTTACCCACACAACTAAGGAAGGAAATGCCTCTATAAGTGCTGCAATCTCTCTTACTACCTTTCTTTTTCCAGATTGCAAAACATTATTTAAGATTTATTATAATGAGTTGCATACTTAAACAACAGCTTCTTTATTTTCACTCTTCAACAAATTTTGAATTATTAAGACCTATTTCTATGTAACCTTACTATATTTCTACACTATTACTTTATAACATGGAGTAGGTATAACATTAAAAATTATTGCTTCGGAAAATTACTTTAAATATCTATAAAAAACTACATCACATAAGATACGTACATGTAAAAGCCACAATCAAACAATAAAAAACAATAGCTATACTGGTACTCTTATTTACCATATATAGATAAAGTTTCAGTTTAACAATGTATAAAAATACAGCTCATTTGAAGCTAAGTCTACTCCAAGAAAACAGCCCCTCTATGTGTAAACACCTACAAATATTCATCATAAATCACAAATATATATCAAAACATAAGAACAAACTTTTGAGTTGTTTCACCATATTTTGTAAGTTTCCGCTCAGCTTCAGTTAGGCAGTTATCACTCTTACAGATCCTCAACTGCTCTTCATCTTTAATTCAACTAACTTTCCCAATGTTATCTCAGGTGAGGTCAGTATTACACATAGTTGAAATATGTTAAAAAGCACAGGATAAACTCTCAGATTTTCTGGAAACACATTCTTTTAAACAATAGGCAGCCACCTAGTGGTAGTTTCTACACAGTCTCACAAATAACTACAATGTGTAAATTTGTAAATGACAAATGATCTTTTAAACTTAGGTATCACATCCATAAAATAAAATAAAAAAATTTTCTCATAATAGATTTAAACACAGATCTAATTTATATTTGTGAATTAACCCTGCCTGTGACAGAAACTACCTTCTTTTTAACGTACTATGAATGTTTCTTTTAATGTAACATAAAGTATTTTAAGGCACATCAAACTTTAACATAAAAGGGGTGATAAGGGACACATTTTTATAAATGTCAACACGCATCTGTGACTCTCAACTCTCAAGCTATCAATTGAAAAGATATAAAATTGATGAATAGGTGGCCCAATTGCAGCTCAATATTGTAACCTAAGTGGATCTCAAGAGAGCATCATAAGGTCGAGGATTTGATTTTAGTTTATCAAGTTTTCTCCAACACTTGGGTGTACAGGATGAACCAAAATATGTTTAAAAGTCCACAAAATTGTACAAAATTAACATGCCTTATCTTACATATTTAACATAATGAACAAAAAACATCTAACAGAAACCAAAGGTTTGGAAAAGGATGTAAACTTATAACACAGATATCAGATACGATAAAAAGCAAAATGTATCATCTACAAAAGTTGTGTACATTGAGCTTCAATAAGAGCTCAGACACTAAAGTTATTATGATAGAAACACTATGATAATCTAACCAATAGTTCTTTGAAATTAACAGATGAAGTACACTTTGTCTCTAATCACCCCTTTTTATGGTAAGTGTAGTCAATATTTCCTTGATACTATCAGCAGTAAAGTTATTATCAAATTTATTATATTAAAAAAATTAAAGCAAGTTACTTCATCATATAAATTAGCATAACTGCTTCAATCCTGGAAACATGAGTAAAACACATTTTAACTAAATTCGTTTTAAGTACTTTAGGAACAAAACTATCATGGTGAGCAGAAGTACTGAAAAGATCAATTTACATAACCCATCAATTTGAAAACTGACTTGTAAATTATATACAAATTTGCTAAAAGAAAGGCAAAATTTATTTTTTCACTTTCAATTGTAAACCTTACATTTGGGTATTTATTATTCAAATATTTCAAAAATCTGTTAACATTACTTTGTGATGAAAAACATTAAATGTTTCATCTTTGTATCTTCTATAATACTGGGTTAAAAGCTTGCAGGATATTTCTATAAATACTGTTTTTCATGAGAACTCAAAAACTGGTCATAGCAGGTTTCAATCTTGATCCTACACTAACTCCACCAACTTGATATTGAGTTATCTCATTAAACATAAAATATATACTTCAACTGCACCAACTTAGAAAACACGTGCTTATAAAGCACATTTCACTTATATGTGAAGATTAAGTTACTAACTCAGAACACTAATCAATAGTTCTTTTGAAATGACATTAGCATAAAGACACTTTATCAAAACTAGCTAGGTTCACATTATCATTAAATTCCAAATTCTGTAGAGAATTTGAAAAGCTCTCTTTAACAATAAATTCATTATGTGTGTGTACTCTTGAAGAAAATGATCCAAACAATTCATTAGTTTATGATTGCAGAATTCCAATGTTATAAGCAACAGACCTTATAGAAACATCCATGATATAATTTTATTCCAGCAAAGGAACAAACCAGTCTAACTGCTTTATAAAGATATAATTTTATCTATCTACAATGCTAATAAGTGCCTATGTAATTTTGTTTTCCTTGTACATATAAGTGTTGGATCTATATTTCTCAGCTTTCCCACTTCTGTCCTATATATATTTGACCTTAAAATATAGTCCCCTTTGTTAAAAAATAAGCTCTTATTTCCTTTATCTGGCTTTACGACTAAATCAGCAGGGTTTCCAATTTCATTGAAAACTTTGCATTATATAGTTTCTTTCCAGAATTATAATTATAAAAAAATAATAATATAAGACTAGTAATATATGTTTCTCACTGTACCAAAGTTATCATCAGTGTGTGAAACAATCCAAAATGCAGATTGCAAACAATTATTTGCACATCTCAACAGAGTACCAACATAAGACAATTAAACATCAATATCTTTGAAAGAAGTTGGAAAGATAATCAATTATATATATATCTATATAAATGAGCAAAAACAAGCCCAAACAAAAATTAAATTAAGATGCTGCATAAATTAAAAGGATCCCCAGGGTACAGGCTATAATGTGGGATATAAAATGTGCCCTGGATTTTGGAGGTGGCAGCGGAAGTAGGACCATTGCAATGGGGATACATTGTGTCTATCAGTTTTAACCTCTGTTCTCCAGTCTCATATGATGAAATTCATAAAAATAAGATCATCAAAAGAAATATGAATTAGGAGAGCAAGATGTGGGTGCTCAAGCACACAATGTCCCACATCTATATCACGATTAACTGCCTGCAGACAGTTGTAGGAAGGTGACTGCTCTCCAAAGTAAAAGAAGAATAAAATAAAGGAAAAATAAAAATAAAATAAGGTACTAACACTTGGGGGTAAGTAAGATAAACTTACCTCCTGAGGTTGGCATTCCAGCCCCCATTATAGTAGTAAAGCACTAATTAGTAGCACAGTAGACAAATTACACTAATATAGAATCCCAACCAAGTTATCTAACTAACTCCCAACCACCACCCATTAAGTCCACTATAATTACCAATTTTCAGACTCTACACAAATCTTTACATGCAATAAGGTGTTCATCCACATAAAAATAGTGCCAAGTTGTTTAAATGACCTATCAGAAAGTTTCAGCAAAATTTCCTTAATTTTTACTTCTTTATATTTATTGAATATATTTTGATGATTTTATTTCACTTTTTTTGAATTTCTTCATATGAGACTGGCAAACAGAGGGTCCTACTTCCACAGTCACCACCAAAACCCTGGGCACATTTTATATCCCACATTATAGGCTGTACCCTGGGGATCCTTTTACAGTATGCAGTGTCTTTAATTTAATTTTTATTTGGGCTTGTTCTTGTTAATTTAAATGTCATTTCTAACAGGTTTGGATTTGCTGTTTTTAACGCTGTCCTTCCTTTGATTTTATTTTGCTTGACTGTTTAAGTATTGATTTTCTATATATATATATATTTCATAATTAAAATAAATTAAACTACACAATACATGTAATACATTTATTAAAGAATGTACTCCAGTATTAATGATGCAGAAAACTGTATATCAACACTCAACAAAACTAAAACCTATAATGATTAGATTATAATAAATCATCAGTTGGGTGCCTACATTATCAATATTTTTGGGAGTATACTCAAGCTCACAATGTAGTTACAAAAAGAATTCTCATTCATCCAAACTTCTTTCACGAGAACATACATATAATTTCTAAGAATTACAATATATTTTCAAAAACCTTCTCTACATACACACCTCACCATTAGAAGTGAGGGCTACAGAATGATGACTTCCACAAGCAATTTCTACTATTTTAAGTCCACTAAGGTTTGTAGTGACAAGTCCAGGGTTCAATCCTTGATTAGTGTTTCCATTTCCCAGCTGATAGTAACCGTTATGCCCCCAGCTATACAGGTCCCCACTTTCAGTAATGGCTAATACATGAGGTCCACTTCCATAGGCCAGGTCTTTTATACCTCTTTTGCATAAAGAATCCACTACAAGATGAAAGGAAGAACTGTTGTCAGATATTACACTTCCATTTATTTCTCATTTACCACATAAGTTCTTAATGAGGTGCCATATATACTTTAATGACTGCATGTATTAGTTTAATGACTGGAAAAACAAAATCATTGATGATTACAGAAAATATAATCATTATTAAATGTCTGAAGTTATTTATAGAATTCACTATGTAGAAAAATGTCTGTTTTTGATCACGTCTTTTGTAGAATACACCATGTATTACAATGATTGCGCCTCATTTCTTTGTCTTAAGTAATATGAAAGATACAGAGGTGGCAGATGCCAGCAAAAGTGAATAGGATTGACAGTAAAAGGTGTGTGTCCAACTTCATGTGTGTGTGTGTGAGAGAGAGAGAGAAAGAGAGAGCCCTAAAGCTTGTTAAGAGGAATGTAATATGTTGTTCAAAGTTCATCTGTCTGCTAGTCCTATGTTATTAGAAATTCTTTTGGTGGGAAGGTCTGGCCTGGATTTTTATTTATTTATTTTACATACCAACATTTATCAATGCTAAGAAAACACACTGAAATTAAAAGTTACAGTTTAAATGACCAAAGCTAACAAAGCATTATAAACCGATATGCTTAAAATTCTATTTAATTTGACCATTGAGAATTCAAAATCAGAGGGATATAAAAACAGCATTTCAGAAATACTAATTTCAACTGCCTCTGATTTCAAATCTGCATAGAATGATAATAATTAAACAGAGAAAAAAATTTTAATTTAAGTCACAAATGTCTATCTTTAAATGTCTAATTAAAATCATATATATCACAATGCATTCAATTTCAATTTACTACCACAATTAATTTAAGATTTAATAGCTGAAGTTCAATTTGCTAGCATACAAAATTTGTATTTAATAATTATGAATTTCATTTATTAGTTGCTTAGAAAAATGTTATTAATTTTGTTTTTATCACTTTTATAATGATTATTCAAAATAAGTTCCATTTGAAAGGTGAGGCACCTGTTGTTTTTTTAATGAATTGTATGATACATAATGTAAGAAAATTTTCAAAATTGTCAAATACAGTGCATTCTAGATACACTTGGGAGAATATTAAACATATAAACCTTTCTTTGGCCAAAGGTTTCCTTCAGAGTCCCCTAGACCAAGACATCCACTGCAGTTTGAACCAAGTGCATACACATCACCATCCTTGGTTACAATTATGGCTTCATTTCCTGAGCTTCCAAACACACATGCTAATTTTACATTTAGTAAAATGTCTGGTGTAAGGGTACTTAAAATGAGCCACTTGTCAATACTAGTCATAGTTGCTTCACATTATTAGCTCAGATTAAATAAATCAGACACAGGCACATAACATGCTGTATCAACAAATCTGATGCAATTAAACATGATGTAGATCATGGAAAATTATTACCTGAAAAATAAAAAGTAAAATTAATAGACTACAAACTTGATAAATTAGTTTTCTTGTTTATACTGTACACATTCTTAGAATAAACTTGCTTAAGCTTAAAAAATATTTTTACTGTGTATTCTGTGTTCTATCTACTAATTAATTAAATCTTATGTGGAAAGATGGGCATGCAACACAAAATATAAAGCCACTTTAATTTCTGTCTTTAAAGATTTTAAACAATTAGCTGAATTATAAACATAGCTGAAGTTTCACATAAAAATTACAAATAATCACTTATTTGAAATTTTTAAAAAAGGATACAAATAAACAATAAATGCACTATAATTGACAGAACAAAGGCAAAATTAAAATTTAAAAATCTATAAAAAAACAAAAGGCATCATTAAAAATGCCAGATATGATTAACTATATACAATGAAACAAATAGACAGAAATGAGATATAATACTTCACTTAACTTAAGTTAAATGGTGTTTTGATAACATATAGAGCTAAAAAATAACAGTAGCAAAATTTGCTTATTATCCTATACAATACATAAAGTTATATTAAGAATTTGCAAATTACTCAATATACAAAGCACCAAACATTGATATAATCTAGTTGATAGGAAAGATTTGCTTAAAACACATCATCAAATCATTAAAATTTAAAGAAAACAATTAATTTGATAGATTTAATAATAATGGAATGTTTGTTTTTTAACTCAACAAAGGAAGCATGTTTCAACTGAACATTTAGCAAGCTACGTAAGATTAAACTAATTTACTAATCCTGTTTTTACAGTATATCATTATAAAGAATTTTAACCAACAAATTCACATAGTGTTAATTGTGGAGCCTTTTACCTCAATAGAGTATACACACAAGATCAATCCACACTAAAGAAATGTACTTTGATTTTACTTGTCATGGGATACACAATTCCCAGCACAAAATATCACACTACCATATTGACCAGGAAAAACTGTTTTTAATTCTGCTTTTTATAAAGAATACAAGATGCAATTTTAAGTACTAACTTCAACTTCATTCAATACCATGCTCCATAATTTTGCCTTTAATCTGAAACAGCATTTCAGCAGTATTATTCATTAAAATATTTACAAACTGCTTTTTTAAGGAGAATTATGTAACTAAAAAAGGTTTAAAAGTAGGTGCTATGTCTGAAGTTTGAGGTGATCACATGTTGCCACAAAGCAGGTTCATGTCATGATAAATATTACAATTGGAGAGTGGGACAAGAAATGATGGATGTTCTTTTACAACTTAACAAGAGTTGAACACTTGTTTATAACCGAAACTAGTGGTTTTCATGCTTTGGTCTTCATGTCCTATAATGAGTTATCACCTTGAACTATTACTATGACTTAGTACTACAATTTAGTATATAGTAATTTACGCAAATTACAATGAATTTTACTAATAGTTTTAGTAGCAGTACTTCTATATTGCACAGACTAGTGTAGTACTCGAGTTTAACGGTTTCCAGTGTTACTGTTGGCGTTTCTTGCGCTGCGTGTTACATTTCTTGATCATGAGTTGATGATTAAGATTTAATTTTAATTCTATTTCTAGCCTTATACTTTTAGGCTTTACTTTACATCTAACATGAATTAGAACCATTACTAATCTATAACTATTTAACTTGAACTTTACATACAAAATTTGTACGGTTGCAGCTTCAAAAGTTGAACTTGAAAAATTTTGAAATTACAGTTTTGTTTTAATTATTTCCTCAACTTTCATTCTTAACATATGATATACCATTCCCACGTGCTACAAAACACGTTAAAATTAAGGTACTTAGGTATGTCAAAGTCACTCAAACGAACCTCAGCATAATAAAATTTCACAACAAAACAATCCCAAACACTCAACATTTTAAGAACATCGCAATCGCGAGGTTTTAATTTAGAAATTTCACTTCTATTTCCTTATTTTTGAATATTATTTATAACAAACGTGACATTTATAAATATCAACACTAGGCTCTTTATTAAAATTATTCATGGTACAAGGTGCGAGTCATTAAAAAGCATAATTATTAAAAACAAATACCAATATATTAAGAATAATTATAAAATCAATATGTAGAACTGTCAAACATATGTCTTATTTATTTAGTCAAGTTTAAATAGCTAAATGGAAAATTCAAAATTGAGATTATATTTACAAGTATATGGTTAGCATACATAGGGCTTTGCTTAATGAAAATTCATTTTTAATAAGTTTTGTTCAGCTCTTATAAAGGTAAGAATCGGGACTTGAATCCTGCGATTGGCACGGTAAAGATAAACCATTGTATAGTAGTGCGCTTAAAAAACAAACTTGAAAAACAGTTTTAAACTTTCTAGTAACTATAATGTTGCAGTAATCTCAGATAAATCTGGGGGCGGCGGGTAAGTATTATTTATATGCACAAGATACAGGAGAGTAACTAGAGAATTACAAAGGGAAAACACAAACATAAAACAAAAATCATTTTTTTCTTACACACCTCAGAAACTAAGATGTGACAGGCAGTGACGACAATCATTGGAAGGGGGATAAACGCCCCCCTCAAAAGATTAAAAACCTGAAAACATAGTTTTGCATTTACTACGTGTGCTTTAAAGCTGCATTATATTCCTATAATAGGCAACACATTATTGCATTAAGAGATTCCATATGTATTCTACCCACACACCCCGAAAACATAAAACTCAAATGGCGTTCAAAGAGAAATAGGCAGCTTGGGCGAAAGGAATTTATTGTCAAAGTTATATGTAAAATTCCTGGCTTCTTCGGGAATTTTTCCCGATCTTTTCAACTATTTAAAGTTTGTTTTAAAAAATATTTCAAACTTTTTTCCTGAAAACCAGTAACTATTAGTACTGAGAATTTGAAATAATTCAAAGCCGTGTTAAATAATTTAACTTTTAATCGTTGAACTGTACCCTGGATTTAGTTTTTAGAAATATGCCGATATTTTATTTAATTTACTCTATTTGCCAACAAATTTGTTAGTTCAGAGTCTCCTTGCTATCCAGCTAGTTAATTTGAAGTAGATGTACGTACAATTGTCGGGAGACTAGCTAGCTTTGTCAGGCACTGAATTGTTGGACCTTCGAAGTAAGGTAATATTTTCATAAAACCACTAATGTCTGATGAGAAATCAGTAATATTTTTCGACAGATATTAATGTTTGAGGAGAATTCACTGACGTTCGAAATTTATAACTGCTCCTGGTCAAATATTTTCCAGTTGATAAGGGTTAGCAAAATCACAGTTTATAGCTTACACAGTTATAACAATTTTCTAGTACACTTGTCTCTTCTCTGTTCTCTGTTGTTTTTTGGCGCGTTGCCCTGCTATTTTTATAGGCGAGACACATTTTCTAGAAACTTCTGATAATACCAGTTACGGAAGGGGATATATTGTTGATTCTTGTGTTCACGAATATTCTACAATCTTGGAGAATTGGCGGGAATCTTGCCATATGTAACTAACACGGTAAGCTAGATACACCCTCAAATATAAACTTATCTGAAACAAACGTTGACATTAAAATAAATATATAACAAATTCGTTATACACAACACATATCTGAAACTACAAGTCACGCATATTTCTAAATACAAATTCAATACATATTTGCCAATTTCATAATTTTTATGTTTGGTATCAAAATTGGTATCAAATTTAAAGGAATTTTATCTTACAAATGCTGTCTCATGCCTCTTTTGTATCGATTGTTAAAACGCTCACATTAAACAGTAACTATAATGTTGATAAGTACACATATTATAGTATTATTATTAATTATATTATTACCTTTTTATCTCTATCTTGGCAAGTTGGAACATAAAAACAGACCATTTCAATCCTACTACGGTCAGACGATGCCGATCTTGTGAGAAATACTTCATTTAAACAACGGGCTTAAAGTCGGGTATAATATTGTTACGACATCGAGGTCACGTGACTAGTATCACGCCACGTCATCGAACTTTCACGTCTTTTCCTTAAATCTCATGATCCTTCTAGATATAGTGTAGTCTTGTATATATAAGACCGGACCACGAAGCGACGGGAAGGTAATGAGTAATTGAACTGAGTATTGT